AGGCAGGAGGATCACAGTTTGAATGCAACCTCAGCAACTTAGAGAGACACTGTCTCTAAAAAATAAAAAGGGGTAGGGATGTAGCTTAGCGGTGGAGTGTTGCCTCGCATGCACAAGATCCTGGGTTCCATTCCTTCCATCCACCCCCCAACATTATATGAGAATTATGAGCCGCTTTATGCCAACAATTTAGGCAATTTAGATGAAATAGGCAAATTCCCAGAAAGACAGAAATTACCAAAACTGACTCAAGTTTGCAAATCGATCCACAACAAGCACAGTGATTTAAAAATAATTCCACAAAGAAAGACAAAGTCTAAATGGTGGCATTGATAAATTCTATCAAGTACCAAAGGAAAAAATGACCATTCCGACACAGAGAATGGAGGCAGAGAACACTTCCCAAATCACTGTATGAGGTGGTTGTTGCCCTGAGTCCAAGATTGGACAAAGACGTCACAAGAAAAGGAAACTGCAAATATTCCCCTGAACACAGACGCAGACACCCTGAACCACATATTAAGAGATGGAATCCAGCCTGTGTGTAAAATCGAGTGTGTTCCTGAAATGCCATGATGCTTTAACACTGGAAATCCAAACTACGGGATGAAAATAGCCAAATGGAAATCTCAACAGACTCATAGAAAGTATTGAGGAAGATCCACAACCTATTTATGATTAAAAAAAAAAAACCTTAAGTCGGGTGCTGTGGTGCTTGCCTGTAATCCCGGTGACTAGAGAGGCTGAGGCAGGAGGATCACAAGTTCGAGGCCAGCCTGGGCAATTTAGTGAGCCCCTCAGTAACTTTGTGAGACTCTGTCTTAAAAAGGGCTGGGGATGTGGTTCAGAGGGGAAGCGCCCCTAGGTTCAATCCCTAGAAAGGCAGGCAGGCTCCCGGCAAAGTAAAACAAGAAAAAAATCCTCAACCTGATGAAGGGCATCTACAAAAATCCTATAGCAACATGCTTCGTGGAGAACAGGAAGACGCTTCCCCCCCACCCCCGACGATGGGACATGAGGCAAAGACACCTCCTCTTACCAGAGCTTTTTAACACAGGACAAGAAAAGTGTCCCTTATCTTAAATGCTTGAGACCAGGAGTATTTCCAGAATATTTTATTATTCTTTTTTGATTTTGGAATCTTTGTCTATCTGTTATGAAATATCTTGGGAATGGGACCCAAGTCTAAACATGGAATTTTCGTATGTTTCCTGTGCATCTTATACACCTAGCTCAAACGTAAGCCTATTTATTATTTTTTAAAAATATTTATTTTTTAGTTGTAGTTGGACACATCACCTTTATTTTATTCACTTATTTTGATGTGGTGCTGAGGATCGAACCCAGGGCTTTGCGCGTGCTAGGCGGGCGCTCTGCCGCTCAGCCCCAGCCCCAGCCCCAGCCCCAGCCCCAGTCTGTGGATCATCCTCAGTGTGCCTGCAATTTTATTGTCATCTGTGCCTGGAAGTCAGATGTGGAATTTTCCACTTTGGGCAAGATGCCAGGGCTCAAAAAATCACCGAGGTCTGGGGGTGTAGCTCGGGGGTAGAGCACTTGCCTAGCACGCAAGAGGTCCTGAATTCCATCCCCAGCATCTCCAAAAAAAATAAAAAAATAAAATAATAATAATAATAACAAAATAAATAAAAATCTCCAATTTGGTGCGTTTCAGAATTTGGATTTTTGGAGGGGAATGTGTAACCCGCACCAAAAGTCCTACCCAATGCAAAAGGCAGGTAAGATCAGGGAAGGAAATAAAGATCAGGAAGCAAAAAGTAAAACTCACAGGTGACATGACTGTCAACCTGTAGAAAACTTAGGAAAAAAAAACTACAGAAAAAGCTACAAGAGCTGAATTGTTAATTTAACAAGGGTGAAGGATATAAAGTCAACACACCAAGAAAAAAAAATCAAAAACAACCAACCAACAGACAACACCTACAGCAGCCATAAACACCCAGTATTTTTATATACTAACATTGAACTTGAACTACTGGAAACTAAAATTAGATCATGGACCTAAACACAAATGATCAAAGTATAAAGCTACAACAAGAAGACATGAGTGGAAATCCTTGTGACTGTAAGTGGGCAAAGATTCCTCCTCTCCTCCTCCTCCTCCTCCTCCTCCTCCTCCTTCTTTTTCTTCTTCTTCTTCTTCTTCTTTTTTTTTTTTTTGATACCAGGGATTGATAGGGACACTCAACCACTGAGCCACATCTCCAGCCCTATTTTATTTAAAGACAGGGTCTCACTGAGTTGCTTAGTGCCTCGCCTTTGCTGAGGCTGGCTTTGAACTCGAGATCCTCCTGCCTCAGCCTCCCGAGCCACTGGGATTACAGGCGTGCACCACTGTGCCCCACTGAACAGAAAAATTTTTGAAAAAAATTTCAAAAAGCAACAACCAGACCTTTATGAGAAGAGTACTGTAATTTTATACCAAGTTCGAAAACAGGAAAAACTAAATTATGAAGATAAACCAGGTGTAGTGGTGCATGCCTGTAATCTGTTACTCGGGAGTTCGAGGCAGGAAGATCGCAAGTTCAAAGCCAGCCTGAGCAACATAACAAGCTCCTGTCTCAAAATAAGAAACAAAAAAGGCTGAGGATGTAGCTCAGGGGTAGCGTGCCACTGGGTTTAATCCCCAATAATAAATAATGAGGACAGACAGCAGGTAGATGGCAGTCAAGGGACAGGAGTGCGGGAGAGAGGGGGAGGTAAATGTCCTGTAACTTAATAGTGGTGGTGGTCACACAACTGGATTTGCTTGTCAAATCCATGCAACTGTGCACCCCAAAAAGATAAATTTTATTGTGTATAGAGAATACTGCAATAAAGTTGATGTTAAACAAAACACAAATGTCCAGTGACTTAGACCCTGCTATGTGGAATCATATTCTCTGGATGATGTGTGACCTTGAACAACAAATCAACCTTCTGGTGCATCAGAGTCATTATTTGGAAACCATTGTATACTGAGGATGAAGTTCAGAGGGTTGCTCTGAGGATCCACAGAATGATTAGCACAGTGACCAACGAAAATAGGGACTCATGAACGATACTAGGACTCTGGGTCTAAGTGACAAACAAGAGGTGGAGCCACTGGAGGGTGCTATCATTAATTCACAGAGGGAAAATGGTATATGTGCTTGTGTTTAGAAGTCCACAGGGGAATTGATGAAGGATTCACAGTAAGTGAGAACATGGGTACCCGAAAGAATATGTATATTGTGTACACATGTGTCAAAATGGCAAATATGCAGAGTCGTTTAACCACTGAGCCACATTCACAGCCATTTTTTTTTTTTTTTTTTTTTTTGAGACAAGGTTGCTGAGACTGGCCTCAAACTTTTGATCCTCCTGCCTCAGCCTCCTGAGCCACTGGGATTACAGGTGAGCACCACCACATTTGGCGATTATTACCAATTTTTAATTTCCAAATAAGTCGCCAACACTCTGTCCGGTCACCCCCAATACTTTACTGTGTGTTTGACACAAACAAGAAGTCTCCCACATATCCATCGCAGGACAACGGTGAGAAGCAGGAACTCACACAGATGGATCACTAAGGTCCGACGCGCAGATGGCAGCTACCATTTATTCTCCACTTGTGCCAATAATGTCCACTATCTATTTTGCTTTCCCCTGGAGACATCTTTACCTAAATACTTTAAGATATGTATAAGTTCTTGTCATAGCTGAATAAAAGTTACCTCTTAACAGTGAGCCTTGGAGGGCTGGGGAGATTCAGACTTTGCTACTGAGAGAAGGGGACAGTCCTACTACTTCCCACCCGCCCCCCATGGGTTGGGCATCGAAAGGGACAGATCAGCCTGCAGGTCGCAGGGCTGAAAGGGCTGGAGTCCAGGGATCTCCGTCCCCAGGACGCCACGCTCAGAAGCTACCCGCGCGTCCTGCGCCCGCCTTGGTGGAGATGGCTATGTCGGCGGCGGCCGCCAGGGGGGGACCGTCATCTGTTGCTCAGGTTTTGGGCTCGAAGCCCAAGGCGCGTCTCTCCAAGGCGTGGCTTGGGACGAAAATTCCCGAAGCTGGGCTGCCAGACCCAACTTGCCGTCTCTCCTCGGGGCCTCCGGCCACGCTCCTCCCGCTGCCGAGACCTGCGGCCACCACCGAGCACTGCGCCCAGGTGCAGGGATCGGGGCACGCGGTGGCCCTGGCCTCTCCCAGCCCGCCCTAAAGGGGACCGTCAGCGCGGCCCTGGACGCTGGAAATCGCGCCAGGGGCCCGGGGTGCGCTCAGCGCCGCTTCCCGAGGGTCACAGCTCGGGGTGGGGCGGGGGTCGGGCCGTGGGGTTGGCAGGGCGGGGCGTGTGCTGATTGGCAGCGGGGACCCTACACCCGCCTTCGCATCCCCGCCGCTCGGCGGGGCCCTCGCCAGCCGTCGCGTCTGCCCGGAGGACGCGCAGGCTGGGACCTGTCCCGACTCGGCGCAGCGCGCAGCCGGCGACGCCCACCAGGGTTCCCAGCCCCGCCCGCCGGCGGGTTTTCCAGGGGCCGGGGGAGACGGGATGGCGGGAGAGAGGAGCTGGGGACATGCCATGCACACGTTCACCGCGTGGTTTCAGGGTGCCCAAGTGATCATTTCCCCATTTTGCTCATGAACCCACTTTGGCGTCCGCTGGCCCCGCGACGTGGTGCCAGGTGATGGGCTGAGCCCCTCGCTGCTCTGGTCCCAGCGCATCAGCTCCGAACCCGGGACCTGGGACTTGCTTTGCAAAATGCTGCATCGTGACCAGCCGCAGGACCGACCCGTCCACATGGAGACCCCCCTGCGCCCCAGCAGACAGGCCCTGCCCGAGCGGGTGCGGGTGCGAACCCCGCTTAGGACACGGGTTCCCTGCGCGACCCTGAAGCGCGGTCTTCGCCCCTGAACCCGTTTCTTCATCCAGATGCAAGGACACGGACACAGGAACTGGGGTCTAATACTTTATTTTCCATCCTTCTTCCCGGCCTCCCGCGACCCCAGGCTCTTGGTTCCGCTCAGAAAACCCTCACGGACCCCAGCTGCACGTCGCCGCCCACCTCCATCAAGCGCACGCGCGTCAGCGGCAGCCGGTGACGGAAGTGGTGGTACTCGGAGTCCCCGACCACGGCCTGCGGGGAGAGGGTCGGGGTTAGACTCCGCCTAGGGACACCAGGTCCATGTTCCAGCTCTGCGTCTGGGTGCCTTGGGGAAGGTCTCAACGACCACTCTCTGGGACTAGATCCTAGTCGCTGTCCCCAAGCCGCTCCCTGGCTCTTCCCCTTCCCGACCTTTACGCCTGGCCCTCTAGCACGACTGACCCCGAGTAGGGTGGAAGATGTCTGGTCTGGGTCACTCCACACCCCCCCCACAAGACACCACCCCTTGGGCTCGTGTCCACCTCGCCCTGGCCCTGTCACCGCCCAGCACCGGGGAGTGGCCCAACCAGGGAGAGGGTCTGCGTAGGCCCCTTCCTGGCAGTGTTCCCAAGCTGTCTCCCAGCGCAGAGCCGACCCTAGTGCTCCGCTGGGGACTTCCCTGTCGCCGACCGCACCTTAAAGCCATCTTCGGTGGTGATGAGAAGGACCTCGAAGGGCTGCCCGCGCTGGAAGGGGAGGCCAGGGCCGCGCTCCTCCGGGCCCCAGGCGCCGCGCTCCTTGCTGTTGAAGACCACCTCGGTGGCGTCCAGCCGCGGGTTGAAATGCAAGGCCGCGTCCGCTTCGGGCTCCTCGCTGCACAGCAGGTTTACGTGGAACCTGCAGGGGACGGTGGGCGACAGGGCTCCGCTCAGGGAAGGCTGTGCTGGGACCGCCCCTCTCCAGACCCCGCCAGAATTTCCAGACCAGAATCCTCACACCGCAGAGGGGGGGAGGCCAACTAAAGGCCACGGATTGCAGATTCCGATGAGGTTTATGGGATTCCTGGGCACACATCCCCCTACACCAGGGTCCCTGTGCTCAGGCCAGAGCCCCCCTTATTTCCAAAGAGCTGCCCACGAGTCCTGGTACTAATGGCCAGAGTGATTCGGATTCCCAGGAGATTGCCGGGAAATTCTCAATTCCTAAAAGACTAGGAACAGTACCAGGGGCCCCACTATTTACAGAGCACCCAGAAGGCCTGAAGTCCCAGATCTAGAAAGTCATAGGATTGACTGCCAAGGCCTCCCAGGTGCCCAGGTGGATTCTGGGAGCCCAGGCACATTTCCAGAGTCTTGGAGGCTCAGACATGGAAGTCCTAGGACGTCACGAGGAACCCTGAGGTTGCCCTGAAATCCCAGAATCTTAGGGAGATTCAGATTTCTGAATGTGAGAAAAAGGTCCCCCAGGAGACTCCAAGGTGGACAGAGACGCCCTGGGGCACCGTCTCTGGGCTGCAAGGATGGGGACGGGCTGAGCCTGGAGAGTCCCCACTCTTCCTCCTGTGAGCGGTCTCACCTGCTGGCCTTCTCAGGGACGACTCCTCGAATCCTCATCACGGTGCCCACGCGGAGGCCCTCAGGCAGAGAGGTCTTATGGGGGACATTCTGCAAGATTCCGGATATTGGGGGGGGCTTGGGAACGCGGAGACAGAGACGGAAGTGGGTCCATCAACCCGGAGAGGGGGAAATGCCAGGGTCAGGATGGGCAGAAAGCGTAAGAGAAAGGGTCACAGAGAAAGAAAGAGGAGAGAAGAGACAGAGGCAGGGGAACGGCAGGGGTGGGACAGAGAAAAAAGGTTTCAAGAGAAAAACCAGGACGAAGCCATCGAGAGGGAGAGAGATCAACGGGAAGGACTGTCCGCCCAGACACATGGCCCTGGGGAACTCCCAGGCGCATTACCCACTTTCTCCTTGGAACTGGAGGCCTTAGCCAGGCCTCGGCCCTCCCTCCTGGCCCAGGGAGCCTGTGTCCAAACCCACAGCCCCCACCGACCCTGGCCCCTAGACTCACGGTGCTCCCTGACATGGCTGGCAAGTGGTTCAGCAGCGGTGGTGGCAGCGAGCTGCTGGGGGACCTTAAGTAGAGGCTGGGTGGGGCAGGCCCCGTGACTCACCCCTCCCATCGCCCACACCTGGCACAGACCCTGGCCCTGGGGCAAAGCTGGCATGTCTGGGGCAGGCCCTGGTTCTGGCCTGGCCCCACACTCACTGCAGGATCCTGCTGCCCTGTGGCTCCCCTTGTGCTGTAAGAAAAGGCAGGTTCATAAGAAAAACCCGGATAGGGCCAGGGGCTCACCCCACTGCCACCAGCCAGCCAACCCTCCCTGCTCCTGGCAGGCAGAAGTGTGGGGTTCATGCTGGGTCCTGAGGGCCCCACTGGGCTGGAGCCTCCTGCCCTGGGCTGAGGACAGCTGCACAGAGACCCAGCTTATGGCTCTGAAATGGTATGACAATAGTGACAGTTAATCATGGGGAAGGGTGGCTCCCAGGGTCAGGATGGTGCCCACTTGTCCCTTGCTTTATCCTGGGTTTCTACAGGGTGCCAGGCACATGGTAAGTGCCCAGTGACTTGGGGTGGAACAGGAAAGACAAACAAAGAGCCTCCGGGCTGCCTGGTGGGCAAGAGACCACTGACCTGGCCACAGCACACGGGGCGCTGGTCACCCTTCCTGTTGTGTTTGATACTGGGGATTGAACCCAGGGGCACCCTACCGTGGAGCCACATCCCCAGCCCTTTTTGTTTTTCATTTTAAGATGGTCTCACTACGTTGTTTAGGGCCTCGCTCAATTGCTGAGGCTGGCTTTGAACTTGCAATCCTTCTGCCTCAGCCTCCCGAGTCACTGGGATTGCAGGGGTGCGCCCAGCTCAGAGCACCATATTTTAGAGAAAAGGAGACCGAGGAGGCTGGAAGCGAAGCAGTTTGCCCAAAGGCAGAAGCTGTTCAATCGTGCTGACCACTTCTAGGTCCCCTCACCTCTAAATCTGTCTCGATTATTCTGTCCCGTCTCCCTCCTACCCTGTCACCACATCTGTCCTGTTTCTCTCCGTCAAGGCTCTCTCTTGCTCCTCCTCCCAGAACTCCTCGCACCTTTCCACTGAAGTTGCAGACAGGGGAATGGGCTCGGGGTGTCCTCGTCCCCACCACTGCCCAGACCAAGAACGAATCAAAGTGGGGACCCTGCCACCCGCCCAAATTCCAGCCCCCTTGAGCCCAAGACACCAGAAGAAGAATCCCAGATGGGAAGTGGAGGAAGAAGGCTGAAAGAAGTTTCTGGAAAGCAGGGGAGGAGGAGAGAGGGGGCACACAGCAGCCCCACCCCTGCCCCACCCATGGGTGGCCCAGAGCCCTGCAGCAGGGGCAGACCGCAATCCACTTCCTCCTTCCCCAATCCCAGGCCTCCAGACTGTCCCCATCGCCACTCAAGGCACCCCGGCCAGGGGCAGGTCCAGTTCACGGTGGCAAGAGCTCCAAGAGGGACACTGGGCAGCCCCACCACTGTGGGGGCTGCAAGCACCCCCATTCTACGGAGGCGAAAACGGAGTCCTACAGGGGTGCAGATCAGCCGAGGCCAGATGGCAAGGAAGAGACCAGGCCCTGAACTGGAGGACTGAGCCAGGAGGACGCAGGGATGCTCCTGAGGTTTCTGTCACTGTAACAAAATACCCAAGAAAAATAACGGAAAAGAAGAAAGATCAGTTTTGGTCTCTGGTCTCAAGTTTCAGTTTGCGGGGGCCTTGCCCCATTTCTCTGGGCCTGCCGTGAGGCAGAACCTCATGGCGGGGAGCTCTGTAGAGCAGGCCTCCAAGGGCCCGTCTCCCAACAGCCCCCCACAGGGAATGCACCCTCTGTTGAATCCACTGATGAGGTCAGAGCCCTCATGAGCCAATCACCTCCAAGAGCCTCACCTTTGAACCTTGCTGCGTTGGGGACCAAGCCTTCAACACATGAGCCATGGTGTGGGGGGGTACATTTCAGATCCAAATAAGCAATGGGTTTCAGGTACAATGTCATCAATGTGTGGTTCTGTGAAGTTCTATTTTGTTTTTTGAGCTCGTACAGACCTAGGTTAATGTTTTGCTGATCAGTTCTATTTTTTGACTATAGAGTTTTTAAACATTGCAATGGAGATTTCACCTGTAAAAAGTTATAAGGCCTTTACTATAATGTTATGTGTTGTATGTATTATATTATGTGTGCACACTTGTGTTTTGTGTTATATGTTTGAATGTACATATGTCCATATATCATATATGATGAGCGCTCATGATAAAATGGATCCAAATTTTTTTTTCACGTGATTTATATGGTTTAATTTAAATTGGGTAAACAACTGTTGAGGATTGTTTTAATATGTAAACAAAAAAGAAGGTTAACAGATCTGTTTGTTTACTTTCACCTTTCCTTTTCATTATATTTAATAATTCTCTTAAAGATAATGTAAATTGTTAAGAAAATTGTTTTCTTTTAGTGCCTTCTGTAATGTTACATAATTTTTTCTTTAGCCATTATTGCCAGAATTCCTATCTTCATCCCAGTGCTGGTGAAGTCAAAGATAAAACCAATCTACAGCTTCTACAATAGCCATCACTGAACTGCTTGCAGAACTTGCCTGGACACATTGTGAACTCACCTGTATGCATTGTGAACTATCTGTTGGTGCAGCGACTTGTGGTAGTGTTGGGGTATTTTTGCTGATGATGTCATTGGTGGTACAATTTTTCCAAAAGGAGCCGTCAATTGGCCTGGTGTATCTTCCTCCCTTCTGCTTGTCATGATCGTCCAGCTAAAATTTGGGGGCCAACAGAGGTGAGGCAAAGAACCTCACCCCCCCGCTGGTACAAAGACCTCTCCACAGGTGTGCTGTATACTGGACCGGTAGTCAGTGACGGGTAAGATCCAATTGCAATGGTACCAACCTAAGGACCATATGTACTATTGGACAACCTAAGGCAGGCACGGTCCCTAAGCCACATACTTGTTGTTTAAACAGAGAGGGGGAGATGTTGAGAGCCACAGCCGAAGGGGCCCCAGCAAACTTCCAGCTGCCGGCTGATGATTGGCTCATAGCGGCCCCAGCAACATCTAGCTGATTGGCTCCTCTGCGGTGATGCTCATTGGGCTGTTTCCCTGCCCTTTCAGACCACGGAGCTGCTCATTGGGGGACTTTTTTGGCTCCGCCCATGTGACCCAGCCAATCAGCCTCAAGAGCAGGAGGATTGTGGGAGGTGGAGAGAAGCTTGTGTGGGAGAGAGAGGCTTGTGGGAAGCCAGTGGTGGCAGTTGAGGCTCTGAGGGTTTTTCCTCAGAGGCTGTTTTGTTTGGCGTGTGTGGTTCTAAAAATAAAGTTAGTTTCTTTTGACAAGTGGCTCCTGATTGTGCCCAGCCAGACTGCGGCAGCGGGTCCCATTATTCTAGTGTTATTCTCCAAATAAATCAGACTCTTTTGACATTTTGTAGTAGAGATGGATATGTCATCACCAAAATGATAGAAACTAGACCTGGCTGGGTGTCGTGGACACAGAAGGCAAGGCTTCAACCGGGGCTTCATCCAAAGGAGGATAAAACCGATGCAGAGGGGTGTGGTGGTCAGCTTTCATTACTGGGAGCAAAAGTCTAACAAGACCACTTAAAAAGGAAGGGTTTATTTTGGCTCAGAGTTCAGGTTTCAGCCCATGGTCTGTCGTCTCTGAGGCAGCAATAGCATGGCAGAGGGTGTGGTGGAAGAAAGCTGCTCAGCTTGTGGCAGCCAGAGAACAGAGAGAGATGAGTGAGAAGATAAGGCCTTCCAGGGCACACCCCCAGTGACCCACTTCCTCCAACTGGCTCCTGCCTCCCAGGAACCCATCAGCTGTCAATGGACTCATCCACAGATGAGGTCAGAGTCCTCACAATCCAATTATTTTCTAAAATAATTGAACACATAAATCTTGGGGAGATGTTCTAGATCCAACCCATATCATGCTGCCCCTGGCCTCAAAGGGTCATGCCCATCTCACAACACAGAAGGATTCAGTCTATCTCCAAAACCTTAACAGTTCCAGCATAGCTCAAAAGTTCAAGTCCAAGGTCTCTACTGACACTCAAGGCAAACCCTTCATTGTGAGCCCGTGTAACAATCAGAAAGCAAGCTACGTTTCTTGTGTGCAATGGCACAGAATAAACACTAAAAGTGAAGAATAGGCCTATAGAGAGAAGGGACGGTACCAAAGCAACACAGAAACCCAGCAGGGCACATACTAAGTCCCAGAGCTCCGTAGGGGACGTTCAAGGTGGTGAGATGTGAGTTCCAAATGGCTGGGGCAGCCGCACCCCTATGGCCTTATCAGTTACAGCCCACGTGGCCTCTCTCCTGGATTGGGGGTGGATGATCTATATTCCTGGAAGCTCAGACTTCCTGGAATATCCATTGGAGCTTCAAGTTCATGATCACAGCTTCAAGCATCATCCTTTCAGGGGCTGCCTGAAGAGATTCCAACCCTGACACACATTTTCTGGCTTCCATGTCCTCCCTTTTCAGTCTGTGTGGAAGCCTCCACGACCCTGTAAATCCAGCAATTTTCATTCCTGCAAAACGAGCATCAGATGGATAACGCCAAGATCCGAGTGACAGCCATCCCTCCTTGGACCATGGCTGCAGTGGCCCCTTAGTGCCTGGGTGGCTGAACACAGCAAAACAAATCCCAGGAAAACAGTTTCCTAGTCAGCCTGTGGGAGCAGGGCACACCCCAGCTCTCATATCCAAGCAACATCTTTCAAAAGGACTTTCACTTTTACACCTTGAACTTGTGAAGGGTGAGGTCTTGCTGATTGCTTCAAGACATCTTCCCTATAGTCTCTATGAAAAAGTTTTCAAACCTTTCTGCTCTGCCTTTTGCTCCCAATAATCACAGTAAACCTGATTAAAAAAACAGCCAGCAATACCTATGCCACAGCCTGAAAAATATGCTGCCTTTAAATTTCCTCCACCAGATTAAATTAGTCTGTCACCTTCGCACAAAGTGTTAGGGCATGGACAAAATGTAGAC